TTCTATTAGTTCTACAGCTTCAGTTTCTGAACTTTCACGCTTAGTAACACATACAGCTGCTCCCTCACCACAGTGCAGCAGTGAAAAGAGACTTCTTTCAAACAGTGTCGTGTTCCCAACGTTGTTTAAGCGACATACACCCGTAAAAATTCATATCATAACAAAAATAAACACCGGTATTCGGTATGAACCGGTATACCGCCCAGCACTAAATGTCACCATGTTTTGTACATTCCACTTGCGCCCAGTCTTGGGGTAACGCATTACAAGTAACACGAGTTACGTAATCGGATTACTTTTTTAAGTAACTAGTAAAGTAACGTAATACTTTTGAATTTAGAAGGAGTTACTTTTTCTTTTCTTTGCTACTGACCTTCGATGATCCAATTCAACCATACTAAGCAAAAATGACACATTTGTGTTTCATTTTTGTTATTGCTGAATATTCATATCCTTTATGCAATTTGTTTGAGCTGCGCTCCCTACTGATCAGGCATGAATTTACATTTCCTTCAGCCTGAGGTGTTTTGTACATTCCACTTGCGCCCAGTCTTGGGGTAACGCATTACAAGTAACACGAGTTACGTAATCGGATTACTTTTTTCAAGTAACTAGTAAAGTAACGCATTACTTTTAATTTACAAGAAGATATCCGACTTACTTTTTCAAATAAGTAACGCAAGTTACTTTTTTCCCCCATTTATTGATTGAAAGCTCTCCTGTCCCCATGTTGAGAGAATCAGATATAGTTTTCCTCACTCAGAATATGACTCAAAGCTGCAATAATTAAATATGTTAAATAATACAAATATCCTTTATGTATCTAATCCCATTTTATTAACCAATTTGCTGCTGACCTTCAGTGATCCAATTCAACCATATAATAAGCAAAAATTACACAAGATAAACTATAATTTCTTCTTTTTTTTATTGCTGAAGAGTGTTGAACTTTCTTCTTCTGCGTTCTACTGTACGGACATGAATTTACATTTCCTTCAGGCTTTTACGTTTGCCAAAAATATAACTTTTTTTATATTAAAAGCAAACAAGCAAGCCCAGCCCAGATTTAAAAAGGAACGCAAAAGGAACGTAACTCATTACTTTCCATAAAAAGTAACTGAGTAACGTAATTAGTTACTTTTTTAGGAAGTAACGCAATATTGTAATGCATTACTTTTAAAAGTAACTTTCCCCAACACTGCTTGCGTCTGTGTCTTTTTGCAGCTTCTCGTACATACCGTGGTGTAGGTGGTGCTAGTTCAAATAAAAAAAATGCTGCTACAAACAAAGTTTAATCCGCAGATATGATCTTGTTTAGGTGCCTTTGTGTGTACGGACGTCTGACTGCTGAGTAGTGATTGTGTTTCTCAGCAATAGTGTGCACCCTTAATTTACAGAGAAAAGGTTAGGGAAAAATCTCCATACAAGTTCTTTGTGCATTTTTCTTTTTTTTTCTACTTGTTATTTTGCACTTTTTGTTAGAAAATGTTTATTTACTATTTATTCAGGTTTTTTAAGGTATCTAGTATTTTGATACTTAACCCGTTTAATCCCACCGTAAAAAAGGTTTTCATTTATAAAGCTCTAAAAACCTTACCGACTGATGTTTTAGTGCACTTCCTGCAAATATGGAAAAAATAAAGGGTCTGGATGAAATATGTGCAGTTTCACATGATTGGTGCAGGTTGTCACATGACCAGAGCAGTTTATTTCCTGTTTGAGAAGATGATAACTGCATCAAAGCTCCAAAACAGAAGGCTAGTAAAGTATGTTAACATAAAGATATGACAAAGATTTTTGTATACACATTATCTTTAAGGTGTCTAGTATTAATATATGAATTCACATATATTCAGTTTTGTTGAGTGTGGTCATAGAATGAGTAAACATGTTGAATAACAGTGAACTTAGGTTTACAATATAAATCCAGTTGCAGTTGCTAGTGAAAATTACACTAAAATGTTGCACTAAATTAAAAATTCTAATGTTACAAAAATTGTACAATTGATGTAATACTGGTAGCACTAATATAAAAGTTTGATGTTACATTTTACAAAAAAGTAACAATTTTGAAATGCATTGATGGTTTTTGTTTTTTATCTAAGTTTAAAATAGCTGGGTTACACACACATAACCACTTTTATGACTGCAGAAATATGTTAATTCAGTACTCGCCTTATCCCACCGGTCATAAAACACAATTTTTCACACACTTTTCCCAAAAACATTAAAAAAATTCTTATTGATTATTTCAAAGGGTTGCTAAAGACACATTATTTGGATATTTTCATGTCTGGGAAAAAATTTGGGATTAAACTGGTTAATTTCCATGATCTAAATATTCTTAAAAATGAAAAGTTTTTTGTCATTTGGAAGCGTGTATGCCCTTCTTGCATTATTATGCCGTTACATTATGATTATATATTCAGTGGCATGAAATGGTCTTGATTAATGACAATTAAGCACATTTTCTCCCAAATTGTCAATGCAAAATTGTTTGTAGTGTAATGCAAAAACAACAGCAAAACACAATGACATTAAACTGTAATGATTCATTAGTGTTTCTTGTTTTGCTCTTATGCTGATTTAAATGAGAAAATGTAGTATTACAGTAACGAGGAAAACTATTGAGAATTAAGGGAATTACAAAAACCACAAAAGCAACGGGGAAAGAACTGCTTTAATTTTCTTTGTAGATATAATTTAGATTTACAAAAAAAAATGGAAATCTAAAATATATTTAGAATTGCTAAATAAAATATATAAATTGAAGTTATTAAATGTGTGTATTGTGTATATTTATTATGTCTATATAAATACACACACATGCATGTATCTATAAGAAAATATTTACATGTATATACATTTATATTCTTATATTTTATATTATATATAAATATATTTAATATATAAACATCATATTTTTCTTAAATATATACATGCATGTGCTTGTATTTACATGTACATAATAAATATACACAGTACACATACATATATTATGTAAACAAAAACTTATATTTTGGATGTGATTAATCGTTTGACAGCTCTTATTTATATATATATATGTATATAGTTATTAAATAAAAGTTTATAATTATATAGTTTTTATGCATTTCAAAATCACATTTAAATATTTTGTACAATTTTATAAAATGTATTTTTATATTATTGAACTAGTTATTATATAGCTATGTAGTAATTTATTATTTTTACATTTTAAAATTGTAATTTAAGTGTGTATTTTATGTGTACACACACTCGCGCACACACACACACACACACACACACACACACACTCGCTCTCA